TCTTCGGTGCAACAAAGAGGATAAGATTTCTCTTCCCAAAGATTGAATTTATTCACCTGATAGCATACACTAAAGCACAATAAACACTCTGCTTGACAAGCTCTGATAAAGATAAAGTCTCTGACCTAAAACAATAATAGTGAGATTAGAGATAATGGAAAAAGATAGATTAGATAAGGAAGCAATTAATACCTAATTAAAGAGGTTCAGGTTAAATAATAAGTTGATTAAGTTATCAATATTTGATAACTGATCTTCGGTGCAACAAAGAGGATAAGATCTATATGATACGATAACCAGAACATTGAACACGAGTTGAGAAATATGAAAACATTAACTTGTATATTTGAATAAGAATGGAAAAGAAGAAAAGATGAAAATGTACTCACTTCTCTTCCCAAAGATGGGGAAAGAGAAGTGAATCGAGTTGGAGCTAATGTTATAAGTGAAATGATTTTTGAGTTGACGTCATTTTAGTGCATTTACGTCATTCTTGTATATCCTTCTTGATCACTTGGCTTATCATTTGTAAGTTACATATGTCTAAAATATGATCACAATCTTTTCTCGTCAATTGCAGAATTCAACATTACATCTTCTTCTACTTCAACTGATAGATTAGTTGAATTGTGATTCTTTCCAAATGGATATCTATCTCCTGTGATTGGACTAAATCTCTCTTTCTCATGTCCTTTTGCATACGCTAATCAAAAATTTTTGTTTACAAATTAGATAAATAAATCAAATAATCATGATTGTTAAGATCCATGCCAATTTGCAAATTTTACAATAACTTACGATTGTCATATTTCATATTTATTCCGTCTCTTAAGAGATTGGTCCCAGCCAAAGCGTCCTCTAGAAATTCGACCCGCTTTACAGACGGATCACCTGGAGCTCCATTCACATGCTTACACATAACATCTGTCCTCACTGCTATGTCGTATCTAAAAGGTGTGACCCATCCATGCCGGAAGCTTAGCTGTTGCACGTATTCGAAATGTTCTTCTAGACTGTATAACACAAAGATATACATATTAGTTGGTAGTCATCTATCTATTTTTTTTCATTATGATGATCTTACTATTTACCAAGATCTAAATGCTTGTATTGTTGTTTGATGTACTTGACCATCAATTGTCTAGCACATGTCCAATCCGCAAAAGACAACCACCACTTGCTTTCTCGAATTTGACCAGTTATTTTGTCTTTCTTCTTTGAATTGTTACCGGTAGAAACCATAGTGTCTAATTCAATCCATCCTTTGTTAAAGATTGTTAAAGGTAAGTGGAAATCTAATTTTTTCCGACGATTATCCCAAAACTCTGTAAAACCTCTTAAACCTGAACATGACGTTTCTCCTTTCTTGTAGTTCTTCAGAGGATTAAATTCATCTATCACTTTTGAGGTAATCTTTGCATCTTCAGCTTTTTCCATAGAATTCAATATATGTTCTAATAGTGATTCATCTCCTACTTTTAATGCTTTCTTTGCTTGACCTATCAAGAAGCCTATTACAAACGGAATTAATTTAACAAGAAGAAATTTTTCGTATTAGTATAACGTTAAGAAATTTTATGCTCTTATACAAATTTTTTTGGTGGAATATATCACACTGTTTTACAAGGTTTTTATTTTAGATAATTCTCATAATCCAATTTTTTGCGGAATATATCACGCGATCTTGTCGCGGAGTAGATCACGCTTGACAAATTTTAAACATAATTAGGCAAACTGTTGCAGAATATATCACGCTTGATGGAATGATCACTTTTTACTTAGTAATACTGATAAAGAGATTTTGAAATTAGAGAAGCTCAGAACAGCAGAGGCTACGTAGAAGAGTTTGAAACAGAGAGACAAGGAAAAGAGAGAGACAATTTCCTAGGGAGGAAATCAAAAGTCTAAGAGAAACAACGACAAAAAGATCTTGACAAGTCAAGAGGGAAATCCCTAGTCAGGGCAAGTCCGTTCGTTTCCATAGACGCTCTGTCTCATTTGAATCCCATCTGATCTAGGTCACGTGACCTCCCTTGACAGGGCCCTCTTCTCCCTGGAGATATCTGCTACATGGACCTGGGTCGATCCTTGTGCCAGCGTCACAACCCAACCAGCCACGGAATGGCCCTTTCAGGGCGCATGTGCAGACAGCCAATGCGAGAAAACAGAAAACATCAATCTCCAATATGGAAACCAAACCTCAACAACTCAACACATCAACTCAAAAGTGACTCGATTCAATCATTGGCGACTCTACTCAAGTGTTCACCCTCCTCAGAACCCTTCTCAACCATCCTGTATCTATACCAGCAAAGAGGCTCAAATTGGATAGTTTTTAATTTCACAATGACTGCATTTGGATAATTTAGAAAACATCAACATATTTCAAGGTTAATTCATTCTTACCTTCAAGTTAACATTGTATCTCAATATTTGAAACTGTTTCTTTTTGTATTTGGAGTATGACAAACAGAGGAAGTTTCAAAAAGTTTTGAAAATTCTATTCATGTTCAAAATCACAACAAATCAATTCAATTTATCGATGTATCTCACAATGTAGAATTTTATTGAAAAATCATTCTAAACAAGTCAATGTGGTCCAATTTCTTAGGTTTTGATTTATCATGGATCTGTTGTGGTTTTTGTTTTGTAGGTTAGCACAGAGAGATTGGAGTCTGATGAGCCAAAACTAAGATGAACTATAAAATTCTCATTTGAGCAGTTTCATCCAGCTTTCCAAGCAGACTTGTTCCATGAGTGTGTAAGTTTTCATCAAGCATCTGAAGTCATCCATGACACAACCAGCATCCATGAAGCTGCTTTCAGAAGGAACACTAGTTGCTGAAATGGCTAGTGTAGCTTGGCTAAGTGAGGATAATGAGTGGAGTTGAGTTGCCAATATCCTAAAGTTGTGATGCTGTTTGGCTCGACAGGACGGTTGAGATAGGAGGAGATTTCATCTCAAAGTTGACGTACAGGTTGAGATGCTGGTATCCTATCAATTGTCCAAGTCAAAGCTTAAGAACATTGGGTTAGCTTCAAGTGATTTGACAGTGGCTGTGATTCCTAATTGAATACACTCAAAGTTGATCAAATCCTTGACCTCTTTGCGTGATAGGATTTCAGGACAAATCATTTCAAGTTTTTTCCGGGGATCAAGGACTGCAGCTATGGTGTATGTCTTCTTTTGGATTGCATTGTTCCTGTAGATTAAAAGCTTATTGTACATGGGTTGCAAAGCAGATCAGAGACCAGATATATTGTCTGCTGAAACTTCCATGGCCTGTAATCAGGAGGCAAGTTGTGAGAACAAGTTGTAGGAAACTGAAGATGATGCAATTTACTCACAGCCTCAAGACCTCTCAACATTTCCTCATAACGTAGAACTGCCAAGCAGAAGGTGGAGTATTCCACAGCTGAAAGGTCAGATGTGATCTTTTCAAACAGTTGTAAAAATCTAACAAGGGCATTGAGTAAATCCCATTTGGATTCACTGATTTGCATGTTGATGTATTGTGAATTGTTATCAGGTTCAAAGTTGATTACTGACTTCATTCATAGTGCTAGAGCACAGAAATGACAGAGTGAGTTCCAAGGAGTCAGGCATTCTGTTAGCAGTCCAAGTGGTTTCCCAATTCCAGCAGTCTGTGATGCTATGTTACAAATGTGTTTTGCAAATGGTGGGCTGTTTTTGTACTTGTTTGTAATTTCATTGATCTTATGAAGAAGACATGCCATCTTTTGTGAAACAACTAGCTTGAAATTTTCCCCAGAATCCTAGGGTACATTCGTGCCATTTGGCTTTAGACTGTTGGTGAAGTACTTGAGACAATCTCCTACTCCAAGATTGATTACATGAGCTATGCAGCCATTGAGGTGTTCAGAACGTAAGAATTGTGGAATGATATCTTTGAGGGAACTGGCAAGAGTATTGTTGTTTGAGGCATTGTCCGCAGTGATGCAGTACAGTTTAGAGCGCAATGAGAACTGATCGAGGACACCAGGGAGATGGCTGGCTATGTTTTGACCACTGTGTGAACCGTGGATTTCCACAAGTGAAAGAATTGTGTTTTTCAGCTTGAAATTTTGGTCAATCCAATGTGCAGTAACCCCCAATACTGATTTGTGATTTGGAGAAGTCCAGGAATCACAAGTGAGACTGATATGATTGATAGGACAAAGGTGTTCTACAAGGTGTGCTTGATAAAGACTAAAGGTTCCAAATATCTTGTCTTTCAATGCAGTGGGTGTTATAAAAAGGGGGGTAGTATTTTTGTTGAGAAGTAGACAGAGATTTGGTAATGTGTTAGAGTTGACAAATTGAAAGGGCAACTCATCCTCAATGCACACCTCAACACACAAGGACCGCCAGATCCCCCCTCAACGTTGAGGGGGGTTGACAGCCTCGCAAATATGTTGCACATGTGTCCAATCCCATTTTCCTTTGTGTGTCCTGGCCTTAGCCAGTGGCTTAGGCAAGAATTCCATGATCAGAAGCCCAACCATCTTTGGGCTCTCAGCTCTGGCTGAACTCCTCATTCAACAGAAATTCCGCTCAGAAAACTGGATGAGCCTTTCTGGAAAACTGAACTTCAACATTTCACGCGGGAAAATGTCAAAATACCTCCATGAACCCATATGTAGTATCACATGGCAGACATCTTGTCTCTCATCCTTCAATTCTTCAAGACCTTTTGTACAATGGACAAGAGAGCAGGTACCGGGTGGAGGACAAACCCCAAACCCCAAAACACAAACTCTACGTGTTTCAAACGTTTGAGTAACACCCATCCACCACTCATACATTCACCGAAATGAAAAACCATGTATTTTGTATCTGAACTGAAAGTTTGAGTCAACCTTCTCTCCAACAAACATGGATTAACGACTAGGTACAAGTGCTGTGTCCGGTGCTCTGAACCTTTCCCACGAGGTTTGTTTTCCAACTAGTCTTAAGTTTGCTTCGTATTTGGTTTTCACTGACGGCTCTTGTTAACATTATGTTTTTTTGTTTTCATCGAGACCATCAGAAAAATATCAACCATCATCAATTGTAAATTTACCAAATCAACAATGGCCCAATAAAACAATTAAAAAATTAGTCTTTACTGCTTTTAGTGAATCTCATCAAGATGCTATTAAAGAAGGATTCACATTACAAAACTCTAGTTCTGGAGAACCATCAGTTTGGAATATGCCTTATCTTCCCATCGATCCTCATGATATCGGATGTGATTATGAAGCGGTTATTAGAGTTAACTCTCAATCTGGTAAAGGAGGTGTAGCCTGGTGTAGCTTATCTTATACTTGAATCACTTGGAATTGATTTACCTAGAAAGATGAAAGTTTCATTTTATGGAATCATACAAGATTTAGCAGATCGAACTGGACTAGAAATGACAGTAGGAGATATTACAAAAGCATTTTGAACTGCATATCATTTTGGAGAAGGACATCATGGTTGATATGAATTGATTGATTATTCAATGTCAAATTTAATTGAAAACCCAATTCATCAGATTCAATTCCAGCACGTAAGATCGTTAAAGCAAATATCAAAGATAATGGTAAAGAACTTGAAATTTCAGTTGATAATGGACCTGTTAGTGCAATGCTTGATGCATTAAAAAATCATTTGGGTATATTGTTATTAGATGTAGTTACTTATGCTGAAAATTGACCCGGATCGTTTAGTGAAACCAAAGCGGCTTCTATCTTTGAATTAGACATCAACAAGGTAGAATTGTTTGAGGTGTAGGTGTTGATAATGAGTAAGTCATCAATCTTGAATATGTCTTACTTTGAAAGTGGTTTTTCATGGTGGATTGATTTTTGGGTTTGCTTTGGTTTTGGGGTTTTCCTTAGTTCTACTACTTCTTTACTTGAAGCTGTGCTTAGTGGGGCTACTACTGCTACTACTTCTCCACAACAAATGTCAGATCATATTTCAACTACAATTATTAAAACAGCTTAGAAAAATTTCTCAAAGTTTTTGTGATTTCAATCTTATCTTTTGGTTTGTTTTTTTGTGTATTCCAAAAAACTTAACTTGTGAATCAGCAAACTCATGGAGTCCACCAGCTGTTCCAACTGAGAAATATCCCCAAACATTCATTTCAGAGCTAAAGTTAAGTCGTTGTAGCTTTCCAGAGGAAGGTTTGAAAGCTTGACCAGAGTTCTCGGCACGGACAGCGACAACGTGTCTCTTGGGCATAGATGTATGCCGAGTTTGTGAAGAGTGTGGTAAATTGAATTTGAATTCGCTGGAAGAGGTTCCATATGGTTTTTGCCGTACAAGGTAGAAATATATCTGATTTGATGTAATGGAATTCCCATGGCGATTTGAAGTTGAGCTGCTGGCAAGTTCACACCTGAGACCATTTCTGTAGTGGGATGTTTGACCTATCATTTTGTAGCAAGATCAGAAATGCCCAAAAAGGTACAGTTCGGTCGAAAACAAAAAAAACTGACTTGTAGATGGGGTTTGAGTTCAAGGAAATAGAAATTATCAGTCGAGGCCTTGTAAAGGGACTCAGTAGTTCAAGTAGAGATATATCCCACCAACTTCGCCAATCAAACTGCTGCCTTCTCCATCTGTTCAAATGTATCAGTAGGAGCAATAGTGACCGGAGCGTCTTCAATGATTTTCTGATGATGACGTTGGACTGAACAATCTCTACCAAATAAACTGATTGCATTTCCGTATTGGTCCACCAAGACTTGTACTTCTAAATGACAAGCGGCACCAGCCAATTTCACCAAGTCGTCCGAAGAGTTGAACACAGAGTCGGGTTGACCTCCAGCTACAATTATCATTGTGTTGTTGAAAAGCTCTGCCTCATTCACGAATGACTTCCAATCCAATGGGAGTTTCTGTGGGTTTGTAGAAAGAAGTGCTACATATGAGGAGTGCATAGTGAGATAATTTGTGTGCAAGCTCAAACGTGCTATTTCGAAAGTCATTAATCGGTAAGCTATTGATCGTGGTAAACATATGTATGCGATACAAAAGACGGTCAAGACATCAGCAAGGTAATTACGACAATGGTGGTTGAAGAAATTAGATTCCCAATTCCTCAATCAAGAGAAACGAAAAGACAGAAGTTTCTTACATCATTAGGATCAGTATCAGGATGGATTGCAACGTTTTTAATCCATAGATTCACAGTCGAAACCGAAGTCAATCAAATTCCAACCTGCTAAATCTGATTGTCTTCGTTGAGAAGACGTTCCATTTCTTGAAGGATATGGATGTCACCACCAACGTAGGTACCTAAGAAAAAGATCACAACCTCATTCAAGACTGTTTTCTTGGTGTGTGAAGGGTTTGAAATCTACTTACCATCGTCATTATAAAGCTCCAGTATGAATTCCTTTTCCTTTCATCATCGAATGTCTTGATTTTTTCACAAAGCTAGCACTTCTCACCCTACCACCTATTTGTTTTTGGCAAAAAAGGAACCCATCAACATCAACAAGACATCAAGCTTTGGTAAGATGTTCTCGAAAAACTAACCTCTAATCTGACCAAAAGTAGCTAAGTTATGTCTAACATGATCAATTGCCGGATTCCAACCTCTTTGAACCCAGTCGGGGGAGAACCGTGATGAGGCACCGAGCGGGAGGGGAGATGTTGGTAAAGGTGCCATGCCAGGGTTATGTATGTGTCAGAGATGTGAGTTATTTCACAGGGTATGAAACAGTTGGGAAAGGCTGTGAAATGGCAACTGAGACTGATCAGTGTTGGTCCTCTCGACAGCCCTATGTTCCATAAAGTTCAATGGCTGAACGTGCAGGGTTGTTGATGAATACTTAATTGAGCTAAGGCGGTGGAACAGGCAGAACCATGCATATCTGAGCTGCTCAGATGAAACACAATTGTGATGCAATTGCAAGACTGTTGCAAGACTCTAGCCCCCCTCGACGTCGAGGGGGGATCTGGCACCTTGTGACATGTGCTTTCTGGAAAGAATCTGGTGACAATGCGTCCTAAAGTGATTTTTAAACATGTTAGATGGTGATATTAGAACACATGATTGGATGAAGAAGAGTGTAGAAAAAATAATACCATGCCAGCTGATTCCCGTTCCTCAAGCTGCTTGATTTAGTTGCTTGATCTCAATCTATGTTGTTGCTCAAGATGACGACTGAGAGACTTGGTACACCCTTTGGGGTCTGTGACAATTGTAGTACTACACAAATCACTTGTTGAATATGCACTGGGAAGCTTACAAATATATTTGATCTTGCCTCTGGCAATACCAGCTTTAAAGTATTGCCATATCCAGGAGGTCCGCTTCTTGATTGACTCTTGAGTTGTTTCCAAGCGTTTGTAGAGGTTGTCTGAGTTATCAGTTGAAGTACTGGTGCTTTCCGTGGGGTTAGCTGGAGATCTTACATGTAGTGTTCTTGAACGTTGCAATAAGGGAGAGTTATACTCATATTGACTTGCGTGGTGAATATCCAGAGCCCTAGGGGATGGTGGCATTTTATTGGTGTTTAACATGTTCTTGATATGTTGTGTCTCGAATTGCTGATCAAGCTATGGCGAAGCTGGGGCGCCACAGGAAGGCCCTGACTAGTTGTGGCCTGACTATGGTGGGCCACACCGGGTGTAGGCCATGGCCATGGCCACATGTTAAGGTGGGATCTCAGGGTTCTTGGACACAGGAGTGAAGGTGCTTCCAGGGTCTTATTGAGATTGTCAGATGAAGAGAAAAGCTCTGATACAAGGGTGTGTACAAGTCTAGATGATCCACAATCCTGTGACATGTGCGCCAACTGTCTAGTGTCTCTTACACGAGTTCCATGTATAAGCATTCATAACATTATCCCCCCTTTGATGCCCAAACTTCCTCTTGCAAGTTCTGCATTCCTCCCCGGGTAGCATTAAAAAACCCATTGGGAAAAAGCTTACCCTCTCACATTCTTCTCCTTTTTCTGTACCTCCTTGACGCCTGTGGAAATAGATTATTGAATTCCTTCACTAGTTCTTGACAATTCTTGAGGTTTGCTACTGGTTCCCACGAGTTATGCTCGGCACTGTACCCCTTCCGACTCACAAGGTATTCCTTCTTGTTGCGTCGTGTGCGGCAGTCTAAAATGCTTGAGACTTCCCATTCATTCGAGTCTTGTATTGGAATACAGGATGTATTCCTTTCATAGACAAAGGCAGGTTCAGCTTATACGTTGAAGTGGAAATCTTTTCTTTAATACTAAAGGGACCTAGCCATTGATAGTCCAGTTTCGGTGCGGGTCTTGTAGTTGTAGTTGTAATGTTTTGTGAGTTCAGCCATACTTGATCCCCTATGTTCCAGTTTGGTGTGTCTTGTACCGTCCTGTCGGAGTTATGCTTCATTGTCTCCTGTGTCAATTTCAAACATTCAGTCAGTTCTTTTTGAACTTTGCTCGGTGTTTTTAATCTTCCCTCCACTGCCGGCACGCATTGTTCGGCAGACGGGACCGCGTTGAAGTTTGGATTAAACCCGTAATTCGCTTTGAAGGGTGAGACGCCTATTGATTCATGGTCTTTATTGTTGTACGAAAATTTGGCTGTAGGTAATAATGTTGCCCAGTCGTCTTGGCGGTATGAGACAAAGTGGTGTAAATATTGCTCAATGGCCTTGTTCACAATCTCGGATTGACCGTCCGTCCTAGGGTGATACACGGTGGAAGGGTATAAACGGATGCCGAGTCGTTTGTCAATTTCCTTGGTGATCTGTGACACAAATATGCTACCCCTGTCCGACACTATTGTCTTTGGGGTACCATGAAGCTTCCACACGTTTGTGATCATCAAGTCAGCGAGTTCCTCCGCGCTCATGCTTTCCTTACATGGTAAAAAGTGGGCCATCTTAGTAAGTCGATCAACAACCGTTAGTATGCTATCACACTCATTTGATTTTGGAAGCTTGGTTATGAGATCGTAGCTGATATCCAACCAAGGGCCCGCTGGGACTGGGAGTGGCTCTAATGTACCGAAGGGCTGTTCCGTGCTTGATTTGACTCGTAAGCAAGAGTCACACCCGTCAACGTATCTGTTGACGTAAGCTCTTTGCGACGGCCACACAAAACTTCGACGTACGAGGCTTAGAGTCTTTGACCTTCCTGCGTGACCCGCCAGTAGTGTATCATGGCAACTTCGTATGATTTCAAATTGGATCTTGTTGTCCTCGGGGACTTCTATGCGTCCTGAGTTGTATACAATACCGTCCTTGATCTTGTACTTCTTCACTGCTTTCTTGATGTCCAATGATATTGGGTTTTGGATAATGTTCATGAGTTCAGACATTCTTGGGTCATTACCATTAGCTTGTCTTATCAAGTCGATTATCTTGTCATCGGTAAGCGTCTTCTCATGATTGGTCTCCTCCTCCTCCTCGTTGCTAACTCCCAACACGTCTACCTCGAACCACTTTTCTGCATCCTCTAGTTCAATGCTCTCGTCTACAAAAAATGTTTCCATGCTGGCCAGTTCCGTTGGGAATGAGTCATGATCGATGTTCTCAGGTCTCAAGAGTTGACCAAACGTTAGCTTCTTGTCTTCGTGCGGCTTTAAATCAGGTCGTCTTGACAGCGCATCTGGTTTTGCAGTTTTACGACCCGGCCTGAACTTTATCACGAAGTTGAAGCATCCCATAGTTTCTGCCCACCAAGCCTGTCAATGTGTTAACTGCGTTGTTGTCATGAAACTTTCCAGGTTCCGGTGGTCCGTGTATACGATGACTTCGAGTCGATTTGGGTTGCCCTCCAAATAGTGGCGCCATTCTTTGAAGGCAGCCACTATGGCAAGGAGTTCCTTGTCAAAGATTTCGTAATTGCGCTCAGCTTGTACCAACGATCGTGACAGATATGCAACTGGGTGTAGTTCACCATCTTCTTTACACTTCTGGGACAAGACTGCCCCTAATGCAAAATCGGAGCAGTCACATTCTAATAGGAATGGACGGTAGGGATCCGCAATCTTTAGGACTGGCGCCGTTGTGAAAGATGTCTTCAGAGACTCGAAGGCGTTGTTGCATTCGTTGTTCCACTCAAAAGGGACATTTGTCCGGGTCAAGTTGTGCAGTGGTCTTGTTGTTTTGGAGAAATGATCAATGAACCGGCGGTAGAAGTTAGAAAAGCCAATGAAACGTTGCAATTCATTCACGTTTTGGGGTGCAGGCCAGTCCCTAACTGCTTTCACTTTTGTAGGATCCATTTTAACCTTGTTCTTAGAAATGAGTAGGCCTAAATATTCGACTTCTTTCTTTGAAAACTCGCACTTTTCCGGCTTCAACCACAACTGATGCTTGCTGAGGATGTCTAATATGCCATCGACTGCTTGTTCATGATTCTCGCCAGGTTTGGTGAAAATCATGGTGTCGTCCAAGAATGCGGCTGTGTCCTTTCCAATCCTCCCCAATAATATGTCTTGGATGAAGTATTGGAAATATCCCGGCGCTCCGGTCGGCCCAAAAGGCATGGTCAAGGGTGCAAACTGCCCCTGCTTACATATAAAAGCAAGTTTGTCTTCATCTTCTTCTGCAACACGTAGGTTGCCACAGGCATTACGCAAATCCAGCTTGGTGAATTCATCCGCGTCCAACAAACTATTGACTAGGTCCATAGTTAGTGGGAGCAGGTACTTGTTTTTGACTGTAAGCGCATTCAGTTTTTGGTAATCAAAGCACGGTCGTAACTTCCCATCCTTCTTCCTGGTGAAGAGGACTGGGGCGGCCCACGCTGATGTGGTACGTCGAATAGTTCCGCTAGCAAGACCCTCCGTGATCATTTCGTCTAGGGCCTCGTTCTCCGCTGGCGAAAGTGGGATGATC